TTAGTAATGTAATTCGACAGGCAAATTACAGTAATATTTTTAGCAAATTTCTTTGAAAAAAATTTGTAGGCATAGGGCCTAGGCCTATCTAGGTATACAGTAATTTCATTTTACAGTAGTTTGGAACGACTCATCAGGAGTGGGGGTGGTGGCAGTGGCCTACTAGGACTACAATTTATTTTAAGCTATCTTGGGTCCGATCGTCCACACCAGTTGGGCCCAATCGTCTGTCACCCGAAGTTTTCATTACGATGATCAAGAACATGTACTATCTAGGCCCTAGGCTAGGTTTAGATTGCTGCTGTCACTCTGCTACGTATACTACTACCGCATAACAAAGAAAGCGACCCACGCGGTGCATTCTTAAATTTTACACACATTATTAAAATGTATTAGACGATAACACGATATCACTGACTGAACGATCTACCACCCTCGTATCGCAGTAACTACTGTACTGAACTAGGCCTAACTTAGGCCTAATGTTTTTGTGGAAAGCTTGATAGTCGTTATGTACCCGACAGTCGGCTGCCTTTATACAGTATCTTCACTTGTCTTCAATTTGCATTCAAAGGGTACATTGCTGCATAGCCAACTGTCGGGGATATAGTACCTTCATATGACTACTCATACAACAGAAAAAAACGTCGCATGGAGTTAGTGAAAAATGGAGATCTAAATGAAAAAATGATTTATTTCAGCAAGTATTAAAACCTTTTTGTTTTATTTTAGGCCTTCTTCAAAACACCTATGCCACAGCAGTTGATTTTTTTTTTTGCCGTAAAACCAAAATAGTTTCATCCATGCCGACTTGCCGATCGGTCAGCGTGAGCCGGCCCTGACTGAACTCTGCAGTAATTTCACATCTAAATTCGCATCGCGAGTAAAACAAAATGTCGGAAAACTTTTCTTTGACGCATGCGCATTTGCATAAATGTCTACACACACACACACGCACATACTGCACACAATAAAAAACAAAGGAAATGTGAAGAGTGATTACAATAGTTCCTATTGCACTACATGCATAGGAACTAAAAAGGGTTGAAAGTGCACTAGAACAGGAAAGTAAAGAAGAGTTAAGCTTTAGTTTCAAGACTGAAATACAGTACAGTCCTGTAATCATAGTGAATATACAGTATAGCCTTGTATCAAAACACGTAGTCATTTCATAACTTGTAAGACATTAAGTTTAGATAGGCATATGTGGATTTATGTTGAAGTAATGCTGTTTCTGAAGTTTAATAAATATATATCAAATATATATTATGAAGAGAAATATTTATCTAATCATGTTTTGAACAAAATTAGTAAATAAACTAATTATGATTATTTTAACAGACTCTTAAGATTTACATTGTTTGACTTGTGTGTTGTAACTGTAATTATAATATTAATCGACCTATATTACATTTTCCAATAAAATCGTAATACAGTACAATACAATCACATATTTTAGTGTCTACTTTGAATCTGTTTCATTTCTTAAAATAAATTTACAATTTTTTTTGTATTATCGTTCATGTATAAATGACATTTTTGTTCACATAAGCATATTACGGCTATACATATTGGTATTGCTGTGGTATTAGAAGTTCTTTATGCATTTGTCACATAATCTTAAATATTATACTGCACGAAAATAATTTATGGTGTAGTGTTCATATATCACCATGTTTTGTATGTACAGTATTTTATCACATTGTTGTGGGTTTTCTCCAAGTTCTTGGTTTTCCTCCTTCACTCAAAGAAGGTCATGAATCTAGATTCTAAATTAAACAAATGAAAGATGTGGAAACATATGAGCAACCACCACGTTGTGTATAGGATGAGCCTTCCAGTGTATCCTAGAAGGTCGGTTGGGGCCCTATTTAGAAGATGATCTCAAGAAGCTTTTTCAAATTATTAAAACATAAATATTACAAAATAGCCCCGAATAACTATAATGAATGAAAATATACATTTGCTTGAATGAGCCTAGAGCTTCCGCGCCAACAAGCAATAACTGTTAATGTTGCTGTACGTCTATATGAAAATGCAGGAGCACTTCAACAGTGGTTAAATATAATTAAGTAGCATCAGTTTGTAAATGTGCTGTATTTTTTTTCACAAAATGTTACGCAGTAAACAGTCTGTCTCTTATACACATCTAGATGTGTATAAGAGACAGGTAGAGAAAATCCGATCAGAATGACAAAATAAACTAAGCATCCACTGGAAGGAATCCCAATATCTGCAGACGGATCCGTTTCGGCCTTCCAGGCCTCATCAGTGCAGCTAGTGTACAGACCCAAACGAAACGTTTATATTTTAATATAGATTAATAGGCAAATGGGATCAACCCAGAAACAACACACACGATCACAGACGCCTCGTTGGTTAGGTTAAGTCTAGTTGACACAAAGAGTCTTTCACCTTATACATGTGAAATCGGATCAGAATGGAAAAAAAAAAACCTTTTACTCTACCGGGACTTGAACCTGGGCTTTTCGCTTACCGTGCGAACGTCTTACCAATTCGACCACAGAGGCCTTGTTAGGAAGGTTGAGCCTAGTAGAATTTGCTGCAGAAGAATAGTACTGTATACAATTATACTGGGTTAAGGGGCATGGTGCAAATTATAGCCAGAGGTGATCTGGAGGTCACTAAGCCCGTAACTATGACCTGGTTAAAATCCCAGTAAATATTTATATACACCTACACTCAAAGAATACTCTTTGCTACACTACATAAATTGTAGATAAGGGCATGGCTGGAACTATTTTCCGGCTCTTGAAAGGGGTCGTTCACAATATCAACATATTAACAAGAGTACAAATAGAACGGTAGGAGGAGGAAGGGGATTGACAAATTTGTAGGCTACACTCTTACATACCAGTATTCATGAAAATGGTGACTGAAAATAACATGCGATATTTAAAATAATATTTTTAAAAAAAAATTAAAATGCAATCATGGATATAATATACATTTTTATATAACCAAGTAGGCCTACTGTAGGCCTACAGTACTTTTATAGTTGACTTAATAACAAAAAATGGAGAATGGATTTTTTGTTACGTATACACTTTCGAGGTGGTGGGGCGGGCGGTGTGCGGAGATTTTTTTTTTTTTTTTGACGTACACTTTCAGGGGAGGTGGGAGGAAGGGGATACCAAAAAGAGTACTGTTTGTAAACTTGCGAAAATGTTGATACTGTTCTTTGGGTACAGCAAAGAATTTAAATCTATATTCTTTGGTCGCGCGGTTGGTTGATAAAGTTGTAATAACTCTTGTACAGTACAGATAATTTGTTTTAAAAGAGTTTAGCGCCCTCTCTTGTTCTAATTATAACCAATCCGATTGGTGTGGTTGTTGTGTCAGCGCGGTTAGCGATTTTTTTTTCCGTACGAAACATTTGCATGAAACTTCACTCGGGCCATCTCGGATTGACTCGAGTGAGTACGATACGAGGAACAAGAGCAGACACTTCGCAATGTCGTGACGCTCGAGTTTTA